TTCCCCCTTCCCAGCCCACCAAAATTTCTCCTTCCCTCCCTCCCTCCCTCCCCCCGGTGGCAAGGCCTCGTCGGCCTGCCCAACTTTCTCCTTCCTCCCCCACTGGCGGCCGCAGCGGCGGTGAGGCCTCGCCGGTCAGCCAAGCCTTCTCCCACCATCCCTCCCGCCGCCGCTGACTAAGCTGTTCCAAGAGCGTTCCCTGCGCATGTGCAGGGGATGCTCTTTTACTTTTGGGGGGATTTCAGTATCTCCCTATAGTTTTTTAGATTTTTTAGATTTTTCTGCACATCTGGCGATCACTCCAGATGTGCAGGAAAATCTCCCTGCCCCCCAGGTGCTCCCGATGTGCGGATTTAGATATCCACACGCAGGGGGCGCCTTCACTATTAGATATATATACAAGTGGGATGGTTATCTCATTCGACACACCTTTGCTTCCTCTCCTCACCCCCTACCTCTCTCACACTATTTCTCCCCTCTGCCCCCCTTTTCTTACTCTCTATTTCTCCTCCATGCATATGACTTTCTCTCTGACCTGTCATCTTTCTGTTTTTCTGCCTCCCCACTTAATCACTGTTTCTCTCTGTTTCTGCCCCCACCCCATCATTCTTTCTTTCTGCCCCCATCACTCTCCCAGCCTCCTGTCTGCTTCCTCCCCCACTCCGCAGAGCAGCAACAGTGGTGCTAGTGCTCCTAGCCACCCACCTGCTTCCTCTCCCCCCACAGCAGCAGTGGCAGTGGTCTGGGAATCACAACAGATCTCCCAGCTACAGAGTTCACTTCACCTTAGGCTGCCAGCTCCAGGTTGGGAAATTCCTGGAGATTTGGTGGTGGCGCCTTGGGACAGTGAGGCTTGGGGTGGCAAGCAGCCTCAGCAGGGTATGATGCCATAAACTCAACCCTCCAAAACAGCCATTTATCCAGGGGAACTGATCTCTGTCGCCTGGACAACAGTTGTAATTCTGGGTGATCTCCAGTCCTCACCTGGAGGCTGGCAATGGTGGTTCGTGTGGAGGAAATGGCTGGAGGGTGGAGTCTATGAGATTACACCAGTCCAAAGTTCCTCCCCTCCTGAAATCCCACCCTCTCCAGGCTCCACCCCTTAAATGTCCAGGAATTTCCCAACCTTGAGTTGGCAACCCTATTTCCTTCCCACCCAACAGCCAACCTATCTTTATCTGCCTCTCTGTCTTCTGCTTTCCATCTCCACCCCCCAGCCTCTATGTAGGAAAATTAGTCTTTCTCCACAGTGGCGACCAAAGCAGCTTTCATTATTCCCTCCTCCTTTTTTCTGCACAACAACCCTGTGAGGTTGGTTAGGCTGAAATATGTGACTGGTCCAAAATCACACAGTCAGCTTCCACTGCAAGATGAGGATCTAAAGTCTTTCAGAAGTATCCATTTACAGCTCTCTCTCTCCCCCCCTCCTCCGTTTATGTAAATGCGTCAGAGGGGCACCCCCCTCCAATCGTTTAAGGGGTTTCAGGGGGGGATTTCGCCTCAAGTATCCATTTAGAATCGTTTCTCTCTCCCCCCCCCTCGTTTCTGTAAATGCATCTGAGAGGCGTCCCTCTCTCAGCACGTTCCAATCGCTCAGAAAGTTTTTTCTTTGGGGGGGGGATTTTCTCTTCTGAAGACAAATCGCTCATTTTAACTCACAGTTCGCTTCTTAACTCACAGTTCATTGTTGGTCTTTATCTTGACCACATTCTTAATTGCTCCTCCGCTAGATCTCCTGCACTTGATCGGGTTGACACAGCTTGTGGCCTTGCTAAGAGGATGCAGTCAACTAGAGGGACCATCAGGGCGGAGGGGAGCCTCCATCTCCCTGCAGTTAGCAGGAAAAGAGGCTCACCCTCAAAAGCCCTATGGCTTGGGAGTTCCCCCCGAACTCCCGTGGGGGTGCCGATCCAGAGGCACCTCTCCCTCCCCTGCTGCTGTGCGGTGCACCTTCCCAGAGAACTGGGAAAGGTGTCTGCCATTGTTGTGCCATAGACCCCGCCTCCTGTAAGCAGCTTCTGATAATGGTTGGCTATGTCTGCCATAGCAAATTTTGTTCTCCAGAGCACGATGCAGATATTCTTACACAGATCCAGATCCTTATGTAATCTGTGCTGCTCCCCCACCCCCACCAGTACCATGCAAGAGAGGCACAGGGAAGAGAAAATAACTCAGTATCAGATGTCTGTTGCCAGCAGCAGGATAATTTTGTACTCTGTGCTGAAGCACTACAGCCCATGTCCAGAGGCTTCCACAGAATCTCCCTAATGGTGTCTCCATTAGTAATTCAGCTAATTGCAGCAATTACGTGAAGGAGTTGCTGCTGAGGAGAGATGCCATTACACTTCTCCTTAACACAATGCAGTACATGCTGCTTGTTAATTAGAACAGCGGCCAAAAAAACAACAACACACACAATGGAGAAAAGAATCACCAGCTGGAAAGAGGAAGGAACATGTGCTGCAATTCACTGGGGCCACAAATGATGCCTTTGCCTTTTCACTGCCAGACCTTCCACCCCACCTGCTGTGCTCTGGCCATTCCATTAACATCTCACTGGGTTTCATCTCTGTGCATCTAGCAGGGCTGTGACTATAACTTTAGTTGGTTCATGAGCTTTGCTTTCTGTAGATGTACCTAGAAGAGTTGGACTCGACTGTGACTGAAGAACAACAGAGAAGGAAATATGCTGTTCATTTCTTTTACTCTTGTTGCATATCCAGAGTATACTTGCAAGCCTAACTATATGGTCCACATTTGTATCAAACAAGAAGGATTATCTGTGCAAAAGATGTGTTCTACCTGAACATAAATAACATCCTCAGCAGCACTCTGCTGGTGGAAAGTGCTATCAACTCACAGCTGACATTTGATTGACCCTGTAAAGCTCTCAAGAAAGAGATGAACAGAGGTAGTTTGTGATTGCCTGCCTCTGCATAGCAACCCTAGATTTCCTTGGTGGTCTCCCATCCATATACTAACTAGGGCTAACCTTGCTTAGCTTCTGAGATCCAACAAGATCACCCTAGCCTGGGCCATCCTGGTCAGGGCCTGTAGCATTCTACCAGAATGTAAATGATATCTGTATGTTCTGTATTTTCCACAGGATACAGATTATATAATGCAACTGATCTACCATTTAGGGTTCTGGTAGGGTTTTCTGAGATAATGTTATATGTAGGGTTGCCAGATTAGGGTTAAGAAATACCTGGAGAGTTTGGAGGTGGAGCCTGAGGAGGGCAGGGTTTGGGTAGGGGCAGGACTTTAATGGGGTATAATGTCACTGTCCCAGTCCTCCCCAGGATGCCCAGCAGGGCAACCAGGTGATGGGATCCCCCACCCCACAAACCCCTGCTGCAGACTGGCTTCCCTCCCTGGCACTTACCAGCAGCGGGGATGGGGAGAACGACGGAGGTTGCAACCAAGTGGCGGCGAGGGAGCCGGCGGAGGAACCGCCTGGTGTAACAGAGGCCCCAGGCCCATGTGGCAGGCAGGCGGGGCCTGAGGGCGGGCTAGGGCCCAGGAGCAGCTGAAGCCAGGGGCGGCAGGGCGAGGCAGTGGAGAAATGCGGCTGCCGGATGGGCCAGAGGGAGGTGTGCCAAGGAGCACCAGAGCAGGCCCAGCAATGTACCCACGGAAGGCACCAGCGGGGGCGGGGCCCAACGGGGGTGGGACAGCATCTCCCCATTTGAAGGGAGGTGGGGCCAGTGGGAGAGGGGTGGTTCAGGAGTGGAGGGGGCTATAAAAGGACAGAGGAGAGGGCCGAGGAGGAGGACCCGTGACTGCGAGCACAGAATAAAAGAGAGAGAGAGAGGGAGAAAAGGCAGACCGCGGGGGGGGGGGCTGAGAGGTGATGCAACCCCTCCACTGACCCCCCAGACTGAGGCTCTTCCTCCTCATCCTTTGGGGCCCCTCTGTACTCCTAAATCACCCCTACCACCCTTGGGAGTCCTCAGAACAGACCTTCCCCTCTCCCTTTTGCCTCACTGCTGAACTGAGAAGAAAAGGGGCGCGGCAGCACCACAGCGACCGGGGAATGGCGCCCAGCAGCCCTGGCAGACCGCGTCATAGAGTCCACCTTCCAAAGCAGCCATTTTCTCCAAGTGAACTGATATCTAACATCTGGAGATCAGTTTTAAGCCAAGGAGATCTCCAGCTACGACTTGGAGGTTGGCAATCCTAGTTATGTAAAATACTTTGAACATTCAACAATGCTTTGCAAATACAAAGCATTATAACAACTGAAAACATTGGACAAGTGTCTAATAATTTCATAATATATGCATAAAATAAGAAATGACAAAAGTGAGATAACCAGGGCTATTTTTGGGCAGGAACGCACAGGAATGGAGTTCCAGCTGGCTCCCAAGTTGGCCACGCCCAGCAGGAACTCATTAGCATAATAGGCCACACCCAACAGCAGAAACTCATTAGGATTGGCTACAATTAGGGGTGTGTGGCCTAACATGATAAAAGCCCTCGGTTTTGACAACAAACAAGATAAAGAGTATAAGAAGCAAAAGGTGGGTGTGGCTGGATGACCACGCTTCTGGTAACATGGGGGTGTGGCCTAATATGCGAATGAGCTGTGCTGTCAGGGTGTGGCCTAATATGCTAATAAGTTCCTGCTGTTGGGTATGGCCTATTATGCTAATGAGTTCCTGCTGGGCCTTTTCTACAAAAAAAGCCCTGGAGATGGCATAGCGCCCAATAGATGCCTTGGTGAGGCATTCATTGTGAGTTAAAAAATACATGGGAAATTACTCATCATGCCATCCTAAGGAGAGTTACGCCCTTCTATACCTACTGACTTTAATGGATTTAGAAGCGGTGTAACTCTGCTTGGATATACTGTTAGTATTGCTGTTGATGGTTCTGCTATCTTACCAATTGCAGTGCTTATATTTGATTAAGCTCCTCTCAGTAATGTATTTCCCTTTATATATTTTTCTTGACATTTTATTTATTGACCGCACTTTTTTTTTTTGTTCTCACATCAGACAACAGATGACCTCGTTTCATCAGCGGAATGTTCCAATGATGACGAAGACCTCATTGAATGTGAGCAGAGTGTAGGTAAGCCAGGTCAGTCTTGTATCTTGCTTGCTTTCTTATTTTATTTGCAATAAACAATGCCTACATATATATGTGTGTGACTGTATACATATGTAGGTACGCTTATATATGTATATGTGATGTATGTATATATGTACAGAACTGTATATCTGATATCAATGCATAAGCCAAGCATCCAATCCCATGGAGTTGGCAAAAGAAAAACACAAAGATGCAATTGTTTGGGGGAAGCCATCTTTGAAGGAAACCAAATATTTTTCAACCAGTGGCTTTTCAGTTTATTGTCAAAAATCACACTACATATTTGTAGTGATTCTTAAGCCAGTTCTGGTGGGGAGAAAGAAAAGACACATATATTTATAAGTATATTAAAATTTGGACTACAAGTTAAAAAATAACTATTACCGCATCTTTTATTTTATCCTCCTTGATGGATGTGAGAATATGCCACAGAAATTCATTTGTCCATGGGATTTTGAATGTGGTTAACATGGCAGTGTATATATCACAATATTGTTTTCTGCATACCCAAACATTTTGGGGAAGGATAAACTGTGAAAAAATCCAAAACTAATAAGCTGTGCCATGTTACCTGCAGCAATGATGCTTCAAAATGTATCCACTCAAGAGTCAAAATGGATTGTGGCAATTGAAAAAAAAGGACTCAGTTTCTCCCTTCAAGCCTAGATGCATTTTGATGATTTGATGGCTTTTCTTCTGGTGGGATAGATATGATGGTATAATATTCAGCAGGCAACTGTAGTCTGTTTTACTTTAACCAATTTTTTTCCAAGTCTTTTTATTTTTTAAATTTATTTTAATTTTGAGGCTTGCCATGAGTTAAGCATTTATATAATAGAGAACAGAATTTCATTGAATTTCTGTGTACATTGTAAAAATGGAGTTTTATGAGAATCTGTCCTTAACTATGAAACACATAAACCACATTTATTTATTTTTATTTTTGCTTTATTTTTATTTGGATCAGTTAGTTTTTGTTTTACTTTTAAGAAAAGGGGGTGATTCTATTATTTTGAAAACATTATTTTAAATGTTTTGCTAAAAACCAAACTTCAGGTTATTCTGTTTGTAATTTCCTGGAGCATTTCAGATTAATAAAGTAATGATAACAAGTCACCCAAAAGCCAGTTCTGTCACATTTCTCTTCCACCCTTCATATTCTGCTTGCAGTCTGGGAGTAGGACTTGCTCTTGCAGTATCTAAGAATGCAGTGGCTTTGCAATGTGCCTGAGAAGTTCCATACAAAAGCTAAAACAACCTGGTATTACAAAGCAGAGACTCTGCTGATGCACACTGCAGTGCAAGGATATGACAGAGGTGTTCTCTGTCATGAGTCTCTGAAGCCTTTTTGAGAAACATATTCAAGCATCAGTAGTACATACATAGTATTAATGCATTACTCCTTATACCATCAGGCAGTTTGAATGTTACTTTCATACCATTCCTTTCTTCCCTGAAATCTTCTATTCTCAGATCTGAGCTGAGACCACAGATGTTGTGATGGCTGAGATCTGGGAACTTTGCTCTTGCACAGTTCTCATTCATGTCAATGAGACACATGCAGAGAATGTGCCCCTGTGGATTGTGGCATTTAAAAAAAAATATATATTTTATAAAAACTAGAGAGAGTGATATGTGGAAGTATATTGTCAGCTTGCTTCAGACACTCTTACAATAGCCACTTGCAGTACATTTACGCAAGATGGGTTAGATCTGGCAATCCACTTAAAAAAATAATTAACAGAACTATCTTCTTTGTGGTCTCTGTGCATCACATCTCTGGGATGCACCTGCACCGACCTCGAGTGGTTCCTCTTGAAAGCGAAAGGGATTTTCGTGCCCATTCCCCAGTCACGCACTGGCCCCACTGTTCACAACCAAGGGAGGGGCACAACAATCCCGCCAGTTCTCTTCTGACCGCCATGCTGGTAGGATCTTCTCCACTTCAGTTGGAAAATTTTTTAGCTTTAGGGCCTATTCCTGTTTTTCTTTGAAGTTTCTTTGCTTTTTTCTTGTTTTTTTGCTAAGTGAAAGGACATTGTTATTACAAATTCGTTTTTTCCCCTGGACTTTATCGTTTGGTCTCTTTTGGTCATGCGTCAATGTCAACTGTTGCCTCAGCATCAATGGCTGCATTGTCCCCGATACCAACTAACTCAGATGTCGACCACCCGATGCTGAAATGCTCGGCCCAGGCATCTCACTCCAAAGCCCATACTCCCTCCGAAAAACGCAGGGAGGACAAGGACGATTGGCCAGTCAAGCACAAAAAGCATAAGAAAACTCCCCCTATGCAAACTCTGCTGGCCCCTCGGAGGGAATCGAATCTTGTGGGGGCTGCTTCGCTTGACTCCTCGAGCTGAGAGCAGCCACAAGGTATACCATGGTCGCCTTTGCTGCATCCTATCCAGCTCACTGACGCTGGCTCGATATGGACTTGACACAAATCTTCCAGTGTCGAAAGCCTACACTCCGACCATGGAGCCGACACCTTTGTCCGTCCTTCATCGTTCCGACCCGATGATTGAGAATGGCCATTGGCACCGATCCATCCACCACCACCCCCTTGGGATCAGCGGCAATGGCAATACATGTATGGGGCCTATCCATTCTTGAGTGGCATGCCGTGGTTCCCACCCCAACCGGTGGATTGGGACCGTCAGTCTACCTCCTCCCGGCTCTCTCGGTATTGAGATCCTCCACCGATGCCAGAGTTTGTGTGGCCTCAACCGTCGAGGCTGAAAGTCAAACCTCCCTAACCACCGCCTCCAATAGTTCCCAAGTTTAAGGGCCATTGAACCCGGTCCCATCACACTGATGTTGCCTATTTCCTTTTCCGAACCATCTGAACATTCCGTCTCTTCCAATCTTCCAATCAGGAGATGAAAACCCTGACCCTCACATGAAACCCTTGCCACCTCAACAAGTGGGCGATGATCTTCCAATTTCTCCGTCAGAGGATCTCAGATCTTATGGGGACTTTATCAAACAGATGGCAAACACATTGACCCTGTCTATGGTGCATCCCCTGCCTACCGTAACGGACTCCGTGTTCGATATCGTACAGATGGACACCTCTATCCCGATAGCCTTACCGATAACGTCGGTCCTGCTTCAGGTGGCTAAAATCCCATGGTCTCACCCAGCATCTACCCCTGTCTCGAGCTGGAGAGTAGATCATATGTATAAGGTGCAGGAGCAAGGTGCTGAATTTTTATTCATGCACCCTAAACCTAATTCCGTCGTAGTCACCTCTTCTTCCAAAGGCAGATGCAGTCATTCACCCCTCCTGAGAAAGAAGGGAGGAAAATTGATTCGTTTGGAAGAAAATTTTATTCTGCTGGAGCGCTTGGCATCAAGACTTCAAACTATACTGCATGTATGGGCAGATATTAGTTTGCTCTCTGAGAGCAGATGTCCGAATTTATTGCAGCCCTCCCTGAGGACTCTAACCATCAGGCTCACAGGATTCAAAAGGAAGGAATGCTTTTGGCTAAGCACCAGCTCAATGCAGCTAAGCACACATTGGATGTGGCCGCCAAAATGCTGACTACAGCAGTTACCTTCCAACGACATGCCTGGTCGCGTTCTACTGCCTTACCACAGGACACTAGGGTTCTCATTGAAGACCTCCCATTCGAGGGTGAGGGCCTCTTCAGTGCCATGACTGATACGTTCCTGCAAGACCTAGACAGAAGTATAAGATGCAGGGCTATTTT